TTGGACTCCACCATCTTATAATCCAAGAATTGGCCAACAATGAATTTCTTGGTCCCAACATCCTCAGTCTTATATTTCTGATCAAATGACTCCCACAACTCCTTAACAGTTTTCAAAGTACTATACATTTATAGCGAATCTGCTAAACTATTCATAATGTAATTTCGGCATAGAAAGTCCGAATGTTTCCACGCATCCAGTGCACTGACAGCTTGAACATCATCCTCACCCTCTTTGAGTTTCGGAGCAGATTCAGTAAAGAACCTCACAAGATTCAAGGTGGTCGGGTAAAATAACATTTTCTGTTACCACTTTTTGAAATTCAATCCATTGAATTTCTCCGGCTTTTCTCCATGATTCACCGGAACAGTAATGACATGACCAATTGGTTGAGCCACAATCTGGCTCATAGCATAACTTGGCAATTTAGCCACGACAGTATTGAGGCACAACAAAACTTGGCCCACCCTTGAGCTACAACAGAACCCACAACCTGGTTTTCAGTAGCCATAGTTTGGGATATGTCCATGTTGGTTGATTTGGTTGCCATTTTTGAAAATCAAAAATTAGTTTCTGAAATCAACAATATAGGAAACTATTTTTTTCTTCGAATCTGTTTTAAATTTGTTAGATAAAATAGAATAAATAATCTAAATAGTAGAGAATAAAAATTCAATTAAACTTTAAAAATCGAGACCTGTGTGAATACAGTTCCTTAAAATAGGTTAGCCCCCTCACTGTAGGTACTTGAGATTTAATTTAAACGTCCGTTTCCCAATATAAAACGTTAAATCGGTAGAGTCCGAGCACTACAGATTCTACTCCTACTAACTGACTTAATATCTGAACAATATCACCATCAAGACCTTGACAGACAATAAATTATGTATGCAGACAGAGATTTTTCATGTGTTTTGGAACTGTAATGCAGACAGTGTATTCTTCATATCGGAACGGTGGAAAAATGAGGCTTCATTAGACTTAACCTCAGTAATGACGAGTTAAATCTATCCATTAACTCAATGGCAATAACTATTGGAGTTTCAACAGTTTTAAACGTTAATGGCAATAATCATTGGAGTTTAGCAGTTTCAGAAACCAAAAATCAGTTGTTGAAAGCAAAATGTAGGCCCTCCTAAGGAGCCAATTTTTGATCAATTCGGTCCGACATTCGTGTACGCAGGTCACGTCCACACACAAGTTCAAGGTCTGAAACCTATTTCGATCCGTGATTTGCACCCCATACGCGCGCACGTGGAGAGAGTATATATACTACACATGATTACACACTTCCAAAGTGTAGATATATATAAAGTGGTTCTTGCTTTCATAAACTTCCTACGTGAGATAAACTCAAATTTAGTTTTCCCTCTAACATAAACAATATTCCAATGGTTCACTTTGAATTCCAATTTCTCATTCACCCGAACTTCGTTTTTTGTAAGTAAATACATGATTTCGATATTCTTGCGAAGGAGAACACAAATCAATGTTGATTTTTCAAAATAAGCAAACGGGTCCCACTCAAAATTTATATCGAAATCAGTCATTCACCTCATTTTTTTCCAACACTTGTGTGCTTTTACAATTACAAGACAATCATTTTCTTGAGCAATGTTGTCACAATATTCCATGATTTTGAGTCCATCATATCTCTGTTCAGTAGTTAGATAGAATTTACATTAAACCAGCAGTAATCCAAATCGTGTTAAGATGAGCAAATACATGTTGGCTATGGTTGTGGGATCTTGGCTCTAAGTAGTTGTGGAGCAACCTCACTATGTTTGTTTTGAGTTTTGTTTGTTTATTTAGCTTAGTTTGCGATGGACAAAATATATTATTATCGGGCAAGTAAGTTGTCACTTTTTGAATCCGTTTGACTAATTTTATGAAGTATTTTTCTTAGTTAGAAGAGATTTTAAAGGAAGTTGGTCCAATATGGCTTCCTTTAAAATTATTTCCGAAATAAGAATTGCATTTGAAATTATTTTTCAAGCAAAAATTAAGATAATTTCCTTCAAAAACTCTTCTACAAGAAGCAAAAGTTATGTCAAACGGACCCTAAAACAAAAGTGACGCTAGACATGCCTAGTTAGAGGTGGCAATGAGCCGGGCCGAGTATGCACACGAGCTCGGCTCATGCTCGTAACGAGCCGAGCTCGTGGCTCGTTGGCCGAGCTGAACTTTGGCTCACGAGCTCGTCAATTTTATTTTTAAATAATCTTTTTTTGAAAAAAAAAGGATATACCATTCGCTTGGATGAGCACACGAGCCGCTCGCTCGTGGGCGAACCGAGCGTGCTCAACTCGTGCTCGGGCTCGTCCATGCTCGAGCCGGCTTTTCACGAGTCGACGAGTCGTTCGGCCCCTTTTGCCGCCACTATGCCTAGTGGAGCAAATACCTAATGAACTGGGCTCACATCTGAACTTCTTTGGCCCCTATTTGAATCTCCATTTTTCCCAAAACTTATTGTTTTAAACCTCATTTTGAACCACATGTTCTCTCATAAAATAATTTTACATGTAAAACCAAAATATTTTCCTATTTTTTAATCACATTAAAAAAAAAAAANTTTTTAATCACATATTCTAAAAAAAAAGTTTTCATTATCCAAAACACATCCCCCAAAATAAAAAATAAAAAAATAATATAAAAAAGGGGCCTCAAATGGGCTTATACACCTCCAAAACCAATCACTGCAGTATCTTTCTCACACGGACGATTCTCACACGGACGATTCTCACCATGCTTGCATTTAGTGTATGTTTGGCAATAATTTTATTTATTTATTTATTATTTTTTTAAGTTGTGGATACTATAGAATTTGTAGATAAAATTGGAAAATAAAGATTTTTGATCAACTTATATGCTTAAAAAATTCTATTACTCAGACATAAAATCATGTACTTTGATGATAAGACGAGACGATCCACGACTATCGAATTTTAAATAAATAAATTAAATTAAGGATCTGTTAGTTTAAAAAATAATCAATTTTTTCTCTACATTATATTATGTAATTTATTATATATATATACAAGTAGCAAAATCTATTAGGGCCGTTTGATTGTAAGGGTGGAAACTGGGTGAAAAGAAAATGAATTTCAAGAAAAGTAATTGCCTAAAAATTGTTTTCCAGATAATTGGAAATTAAGTGTGTTTGATTGGTATAATTTTCCACCCTGAAAATTTTTAAATTTTGTATTTGTTTGACTTTATTTTATATGAAAATTGTCCATGAAAATGATAATTTTTTCCACAATTGGTTATAAAATTTGTTTTCATTGCCAAAAAGTTTAAAAAAAAAAAAACGAAAATTTTTTTCCCTAAAAAATCATTTTTTTTTTATCAAAGTTTAGTATCGTTTGGTTTTGTTTTACATGAAAATTGTCAATTAAAGTGATTTTTTTTTTTACAATTAATTATGAAATTTGTTTCCATTATCAAAAAATAAAAAACAACAACATGGAATTCATTTTCCCACAAAAAAGTGGGAAAACCAATTCCACAAAATCATGGAATTGACACGTGTGAGGGAATTGTGGAAAAAGTTTTCTAGGAAAAATTTGTACCATCAAATATGCCAAAAGATGGAAAATATCCCATATCAAACACACCCTTAAATTAAAGGACGTGGAAGAAGGGAAAGTATTGATGTCGAATTCATAATATATTATGGTAAGAAGACTTATGATATCTGGGCGTTTGTAGTCCAACGGTTAGGATAATTGCCTTCCAAGCAATAGACCCGGGTTCGACTCCCGGCAAACGCATTGGTTTTTTTAAATTTGTCTTTTTCTTGACTTTGACTAAGGTGCCAAAAAAAATAAAAATAAATCCTGCAGCATGTTCAATCAAGCAGGTGGTTCCTTAAACAAAGTCGTTTAATTGCAAATTAGCTCATGCAACGAATTAGACTTTAACTCTATTTAACAACCATTATTTGAAAGCTTATTTTTACATACTTAGCCCCTGTTTGATCTACATTATTTTTTTTCATTCTCATTCTTCTACTCATTTTCAACCGCACATTTTTCAATAAAATAATATTTTCCATCGCATTAATAACTTTTCCTTATTTTTCGACCACATATTCCCTATCACGTCACTTCAAAAAAATGCATTCTCTCATTTTAATGTGCACCAAACGGGCTCTTATTTTTAACCACACTTTCATACAATAAAATATTTTGCACGTAAATTTAAAAAATTTCCCCACCTTTTAACTACACATTTTTTCTAAAAATCATTTTTCAAAACATTGTTTTTCTCAAATCAGACAATGGCTTAATTGTCACTTCGAAGTTTGATGTAGATTTTTAACAAATAAAGTTGTTAGTCAAATGAAATGTATGGTTAAAAATGAAGTTTGAATTGTTTTAATTTTGCTTCCTATATTGTTCTAGCATGCATTATTTTCAATTTTGGTGAAAATATGTTTTGGAATCGTGACAATTAATCAAACTTAATACTCCTATGCTTATGTGACAAGTCATGTGGTTGCTAACTAAGTAAAATATCACACAAGCACAATCACCGGTCAACACCACCTCCCATATTCGAGACGAATGTACTTTAGCGTGTCGGTCATTAAAAGTAGCTGATGATGGGGTATTGGTAATTAGGTGTCTATATACATGCGATATCAGGAGGTCTCTGGTGACCTTGGGACAGGAAGTTGGCTCGACGAGCTGTGTATATATTTTTCCGTGACATATTGCTTGAAGTTTCACATCTACAGATGATGGAGGTTTGTCTGAATTTCTAAAATAAATGAGTTTAGAGGAATGTAGATGTGAAAGAATGTCAAATTCTTAAATTATATAAACTTGATTTCTTCCATATTTCTAATTATAAATGTTTTTACAGTTTCAGAGTACATCGGCAAAAGCCATGAGAACCCAAGTGACGTTCTTGACCACGACATGCTCAATTCGTCTCATCAATACAATAACAATGAACTCCCTCAATAAATTTAGAATCGACTACATGATACAAGGTTACATCAATATAGAGGGAATTTCAGAGAAAAAAGGGATGTTTCTTAGCTGCAGCTTCACACAATCTTCTTCACTTGCTGTTCTTGGATCGAAGGGCTCACGATCAGGAAGAACTAAACCTTGTTTGATACGTCCCATTCTTCGTGAAAACAAAACTTGTTCTGCATTGACTGGTAGTCGAATAGATTGATATTCTTTAAGAGCCAAATTTAGATTCTCCAATCCCCATTTCTCAAGGCATTTGCCCAAGACTGCAGCATCTAGTATCGACATATTTGTGCTTCTTGCACCATGAGGACTTACCGGGTGAGCTGCATCCCCGATCAAAACCACGTTGTCCCAAACTACTCTCTCTAGTGGCTCACTATCGTATATTGCATTCAGGAAAGGCTCTTTAGTTTCTCGCATTAGTTTCACAAATTCTGGAACCCAAACCTTCTCTGCTGCTTCATACATTTCTTCAATCATGTCTCTGCTGACTTTAGTTGTAACTGAGTTTCCCTTAGTTATATAAAAGAAGATTGCTCGTTATAACGGTGTTCCTGTCTAAATGTCATAGCAAAAAGGTATAATATAAAATAAGGACGAAAGAAAGAACATACCTCAAGATCTGGCTCTGGTTGATTAACATACCAAATCCAGTTCATCCTTTTGTTGAATAACTCGTAAAGAATACTGTGAGTTCCAACTCCTAGGATAAAGTAATTGCACTTACCAAGCTCGGGAAACGCCTTCTTGAGTTGCTGAATGGTTTCTGAGTTCTGGTTTTCTGAAAAATCGAGAACTCCTCTCCAAGCACAGTAACCCGAATATCTAACAATAAACGATGTCATTCCAAGAAACGAAGTGGTTCTTGAATTCTCATTGCAGAACAAGAGCAAAAGGTAAATATTTATCTGTTTTATTCACAAACCTGAGTTTAAGGTCGGGGAGTAAAGTTTTACGAATGGAAGAGAGACAACCATCTGCAGCAACAAGCAAATCACCTTCTACGTCAATTGTATCACCAGATTGAAGCACTTTAGCACTAACTTTCACAGATTTTTCATCAGAGACGCGAAAGGAGAGGAAAAAATGCCCCCATAAAACAACTTCCTGAGGCAGCGCATTGTATAATAGGCTATGAAGATCAGCCCAGTGTGCTGCTCTGAAATTGAAGTTTTCATCTCTTGTCAGCGTCCTGGTAATTTTCTTGTCCCAATCTGTTGCTTGTTCCTAAGATTATACAAGGATTTACAAAGTGGAAAGCCATTTAATTCCAAGGTCATTTTGAAGGGAATAAAGTTCTAACTTGTTCAAATTGCACTTTAAAATTTTGCAGTCGAAAAGATAAACGCACAATATGATTAGGCTTCATAAAGTGCAACGTGATAAGCTATCAACTTTATTTACAGAAATCCATTACTAAAAGCCAATTATATCCACGAAACAGAAATCAATTGTAATGAGCTGTTTAAGTGAAAAAAAAAACTACGGGGAGCGAGTCAAGTAAAAAAAGGTACGATCTCGAGGCAGGGGAAGTGGAAGCACAGGACGAAAGGGGATCAAAGATTTCTTGTGAAAAAAAATGTGAATGAGCTGTGTCCTCACTTTAACTCTCTTTTCAGCAGTCCCACCCTCATTTTCAGCCAATTAATCCCGAAAATGTTGCATCAATCTCCTGAATCATTGGTCCCGATATTTTTCATCAAGTGATGAGACTTAAGCAATGAATTTATATGTTAATTCGTGAATAAAAATCAGAACAGACAAGATTATGAATGTCTAAATACTTCTACTATGAAAATGAATTGATAAAGCTTACATGAGACTGAGGATTTTTTACGCACATGATCAATGGTGAGGGGCAAGGTGTAGTGCTCAAGAGCCTGCGGTTGATTCAGCCACGACTGGACGAGTTTCTGGGATAAAAGGTCGATTCCAAGGCCGGCACCGGTGGCACTACTGGTGGGGGGTGAAGGTGTTTTCTCGATCACCACCACATCCCACCCAGCGGCTATAAGAGCGTGTGTGCAGGATATCCCGGCTATGCTGCCTCCCACCACCACTGCCTTGGCCTTCCTCTTTGTTTCCTCCATCTCACTGTCACTGTGTGTGCGTGCGTATATGCTAGAGAGAGAATCTTGATTCTGAGATAATGGTGGGTGGGGGTGATAACAAAAATTATCATATGAAGGCATCAGGACTTACGAGTCACGACAGGGAGATCATGCTATTTCTTACGTGTTAAAGTTTGTCCCATGTCAAATTATGATAATATACAAGGAGATTGACTTTTAAGGACCCAAGTAGAATTAGAAAATGAAAGAGTTAATTTTTCTGAAAATTATTTTTAAATATGTACATGCACCATAACTGTAATTACATCTTTACACAACATAACAGATTGGGCAAGCTCTAGTTACAATTTGACCATCATATTACATATGTACAGAAGCTTAATATCTGTGCGAGTAATTCAACTCTCCAATCGAGTAGTACGATTAATTGATACAGGTCCACCATCTCCAAGCTGGTGATCCGTTCAGTAAGCCATGCCGCCAGAAAAACTATCTTCGTCATGAAGGAGAGATTCTGGAAGCCAATAACCATCCCAAGAACCCCCAACTCTCTGAAAATCAGAAGCCACGAGCGAATTACTTTATCAAGAAGTGCAAAGAACATGGATTCGCACCTTCCATAAGAAGAAATAGATATTTTGAAGAGAAAAAGACATGGAGAAGGAAACATACAAAATTTTATGACCCATAAGATCGGTCCATTCTTTCAAAGAATTGAACTGAACTTGTGAGAATTCCACAACCATGCTACAATTTATTTGGGCAGGTTTCAGCCAAAGCAGAAAAAGAACCCACAAGATAAATTTCAGAGGATTTTGATAATAATAAGATGAAGATGAATCCCAAGTCTCATTCCCCTTCTCATATCCATGTTCAACCATGTAATTTCAACAGCCATATGAAAATTTTGCCAGTTCTTGATGTTAAATTGGTACATGGGTTTAAATTTGTTTTGATCAAGAAACAATTGAACATGGTTCCTTTATCTTGCTGCATCAGCAAGGCAGCAAAAAAATAAAAATAGCTATTGGCTCATGGACTTGCTAGTTGCTATGGATTAAAATAACATTTGCTGCAACAATACTATGGTCAGGAGATGCTCACTGGGAATTGCAAGGTTTAGAAATATTTGACCTAAAGTTTAGGACAGTGATCTCAAAATCCATTCATTTTCTACCTTGTCGATATCCTTGGCATGAGGGTCTGAAGATCTAAATGTCAGTTATCAAAAGCAATACACACACCTGAACCATTGTAAATTGAAAATTTTCTTCTTCCTCAGGTCGAGCTCCTCGTACCCAAACTCGCTGCTTATAGATATTCTGTCTCACGTATACTTACCTTCAGGAGAAAGATAATGTAAGTTGTTATATGGACAAATAAAAAAATCAATTACCTCCTTCACAAGTAAACTGCTTAAGATCTTTCTTTCCTGGTGACCTAGCAAAACTCGGTAGGTTGAATGGTGGAAGATCCGCCTAAACCGTTCGAACTGCACAAAATTACCAGTCAATATTTTAGGAACAATGCATTGATTTGGGACTTTGATGATTGAGAAAATTCGAAGTGCTTCTGCTAGTACTTCACTTTTCCCATATATTAAGTAGTACCTTTCCAGGTGGTGGCAGCCAAAAATCATGAAGGAGAACTGTAAAAACAGCCAAAGTAAATTTCTAAATATTAAATACTTACTGACCTGACCTAAATCAAAGAAGGGCCCAAAATAGGTAGATCTTTCAAAAGGATCGAATCCAGCAAACTGATGGAACATAACATCAGTGTGATCATGATAGCAACAGATGAAAAATATCATATCAAAGTCAACAAATACAAAGCAACTGTATGGAGATTATTAAGTACCCACCCTATACATGACTTCAATCCCATAATCTGGCCGAGGTTGGTCATTGAACATCAATGCATCAAGCTGGTATCGCACAGCTTCCTCAGCACATAAAAAATAGCCAATTATTCGCAAAAACTCACACTCTCCAGCACATAAAAAATCATAGAGATATTGATTACACGGGATATCTACATGGTTCAGGCTCCTTATTTGAGATTAAATTAATTTGTACATACATATATAACATTTGCATAAACTTAAAATTTCGGACTGCATATAAGTAACAGTGGTTGAAAAGGAATTTCCCAAACATTACAAAATTAAAAAAACAGAGATATATAGAGAGGTATAGAGAGAAAAAGCTACCAATCAGGAGAGAGAAAGTCAGGAACGTCGGACGCGGAAGCTCGAATTCGAGGACTGAGAGGCTTGAAAGGTGTGGAGAGTAGAGATGCACCAAACGACCTGTTTCCTCTGCCACAGGTTACAATTTGTTTCTCGTTTTAACCTTCGTGGAAGACGGAATGAAGAGAAGTGTCGTGTTCGCATGGACTGAAGTCGCTCAAACTGAACACGCTTTCTGTCTAAAAGTATTTTTATAGGTAATTTTTTTTAAAGAGTTTTAATTCTATCTAATATTCATTTGAAATATGTAGACTTAAAAATATAAATAATAAATAGCTTATATGTAAAAATGTGTTTTAATTTATATGATTTTCAAGAAATTATTTTAAGATGGGTGGTGTGAATTGTTGTGTGATGTCACATATAAACGATATGTCCAGGTATATATGTTAGTTTAACGATAGTTTTAATGTCCATATATCATATAACATTAGGTGTGATTGATTGTTAATATTTTTCATGAAAAATATATTTTTTTACTTAATTTTTGACTTTTGTCATGTTTGATTGGCATTTTTTTTTTCCAAAAAAAAAAAATGTTTTTCTACTTTTGGTCACATGATCAAAATTTTATTGAAAATAAGGAAAATATTTTCTTTAAGGAGATGTGGTTTTTATTTATCAGGTAATTCAGTTTCTCTTTCTCTCTCTCATTTTTCACATCTCTCTTATCTATCCACCAATAAAAATAGACAAATATAATATTTTCTAAGTTAAAAACTAAATCAATCAAACAGTTAAAATTTAAAATACACTTTTGGCTCTCATTTCTTAAAAATCATTTTTTTTCCAAATTCATTTTCAATCACATAACACTTGACTCCCCTGTCGTCCCTCATTGTTGCACCTAACGTCCTAACGCCCACCATCAACCACCGCACCTCTCGCACCACACCATCAACCTTCTCACCCAATCTCAGTAGCTCATGAAGTCATCTCCAGCACCTAAATCAAAGTTATATTTTACGGTAAAGGCCTCGAGTATGATTTATGGAAGTTGGATCCAATTGTTTTAATTAATTAAATAAGAAGAAATTATTTTTGTCTTTATTAAAATTGGTCAAAGAAAAAAAAAGAGTTAACGCTTGATTATGATCAACTAACATTCTTTCAAAGAGAAATCCTACAAAGGTTCTTTCTCTACTCATTTATTAAAAGGTTTAGGATGTATGTACTAAGATTAGAAGATTCGGATCTTGACGATACATTTTGAAAGGTTTGAAACATATGTTGCAAATTTTTTGAGTCAGTTGGACTCAACCCATGGACATCCCTAGTTTTACGCAATTAGGTTGGCTTAGTGATCGCGTTATTCAAACATAATATTCTATCAGCTCAACTCAATGATGAGCGTCGTTATAAAATTGCAGATGTATGATGTCGAATTAACTATAGTATAGTAGATCTAAAAAATCCCAATAACCGTCCTACGAAGACTATTTTGACAAATATCGATTTAAATAACCCTACCATTTATTCGATGAAACAAAGTTTTTGAATAAAACTAATATTAACTAAGAAAACTAAAAGAAATTAAACAAAAATATTTTCTTTGAATTATGGTTTAACTTTGATTAAACGATCAAATATGATGGTTGAAGCGTTGTGACTCATAATTTTAGGGTAATTATCAACTTTAACATTGCGTCTAAAATTCAATTCCTAAAGTTGTAACGTTAAAGCATTGGAATTATCTCTCTAATTCTCTATTTTCTTCTAGATTTTTTAGAAAATGTGTGATTAAAAAGTAGAAAAATATTTTTATTTTACGTATAAAATATTTTATTGTGTGAATGTGGTTGAAAATAAGTATGAGAATTAAATAGTTTTGTTTTAAAGGGAGAAGTAGTTCAAAAATATGTAATCAATATTAAAAATTCATATATATTCCATTCGTGTGAAAGTTTTATGAATAGTTCACGTAGGGGGAATAGCCAAGGGTCCGGACCTCAACTTCCCCGAATTTTCCTTTTTGATTTTTTTTTTTTTATATATGGTAACAAAAGAAAACAAAAATAGGTAAATTACTTGGAACACATTTGCAAACTTCTTTTATTTTTTTTTTTAAAATTTTAATTTTTGAATAATTTTTTTTAAAATTTCTTTTTTGCCCCTATTTGATCAAAAATTCATTTTTTTAAAACTCATTTTTAACTACACATTTTTCAATAAAATAATATTATACATAAATCAAAAACGTTTTCTTCATTTTTAACCACATATTTTCCAAAAATCACTATTCAAAAATACATTTTTTCTCTCAAACTGAGGCTCAAACAAGGGCTCAGTCGGCAAATCCTTCATAACTTTTAAGCGTTTTTGAAAATCCGCCACAACTTTTAAAATTGGACTCCCCATTAATTCATAATTTTAGATAAGTTGGCAAAACACCACCCTTAACAATCCATTAATTCATTTTCAATTACAAAATCTAATAAAAAAGGTCATTTTCCTTTTAATGCACAAATCTCAGTAAGGGTGTCACAAGTCGAGCCGAAACTTGAGGCTGGGACTCGGCTCAAGTAAAAATGGTTTGAGAATTTTTTGCCCGAGTCGAACTTTTGTTCGACCAAAAAAATTAGGCTCAATCTGAGAGCTGAGTCGGCTCACAAATTTTAATTATTTTTTATTTTTTTAAAAGTTGGCAGCAGCTAGCTGCCTGTGTACACACTACCTTGATAGCAGGTAGCTACAGGCAGTGTGTTTGCCTTGCTTTTTATTTTATTTTAAAAATTAAAAGCAGTCAGCAGCTTCCTGTAATTGCTGCTTTTTTTTTTTTTATGGGCTCGTCACGGGATGAAAATAGCCCGTGACACGAGCCCGTCGAACCACATGGCTGGCCCGGGCTTGGCCAGAGCCGATTCGAACTTTTTTGAGGCCGAGTCACGGACCGTGAGCAAACGTGCAAAATCGACACAATTAGAGATAATCTCAGTAAAAATCTTTGGATGCATGACTATTTACTAAAAAGGTTTTGCAAAATATATAGTAGAAGAGGATCCTATTAATGATGGTGAGTTTTTTTCGTTTATTTTTTATTAACTCAATTATAATTATGTTTTTTCTCTCAACTTCTATATCATGAATTTTTTTATTTTGAATTTACACGAAAAACTATTATTTCCATTTATTTACTCAAAATTTTCAATTATTCGGGCTCTGTATAATCGAAGTTCGATTTGTTTATCTAAACTGTTATAATATATTATTTTTTTTACTATTTTTTGGTACTTTTTTTCAAATAACACAAATTTACTTTTATAAAATTTAACAAATTTTTTTAACAAAATATATAATTTTATTATTTTCCTCAAGCATCACCATCTTTATCAGCGACAGCTAATTACAATGTGGGGCAGTCAGGTTGTGCAGTCAGGCACGTAAATTCGTTGGATGGATTATGGCAATTTGCGCAAAATAATATTCGATGACAGCAAATCAAATGTCTTGACCTTTTCTTTTTATTTTTTTTCTTTTCCTTTTTTTCGATAAATTCACAAAATTCTACATTTATTTGGAAAAATACACACAGATATGTTTCACTTAGTCCCAAACATTTGAAAAAGGGTATTTAAATTCTTAACTTTTCAATTTTGTTGCACGAAGAGATGTTAAAACTTAAAATATCAATCTTTGTTGGAAAAATGGGTTTAATCTAAATTTTGAGTTAACAAAAAGACACAAACGAAGAATAAGGACCATCCCAATTTACTTTGGTACATATAGGACTAAACACTAGAAATATGAAATATGTTAGGATGTAAATGCTTATTTTTAAAGGTTATATACCGAGATGCAATAAGAGCCAAAGGTTGGGGGACCTCCAGTGATATTTTGCCTATTTATTTTGGAAAGTACTCTAAATCCCCATGTGGCCCCATGCTATGTTACAATAATACTTGAGTTCTGCTATATGTATAGGAATTTGAATTCCTGTACCTATACAGGATAGACATATCAGGGGGGTGGGTGGGTAGAAAAATCATTTTTTTTATTTACATGGGGCCCATCCCTCATGTGAGTAAAATTTAAAATTCTGTTGGAAAATCTGTAGAAATGTTCTGTACTTTCAGCATTTTTGATAATACTTTGCCATTGTTTGGTCTTCACTATTATCAAAATACTTTTTTCTCTCTCTTATTTTGTCACATATTTTTTAATAAAATAATAATACACGCAAATTCAAAACTTTACCTTATTTTTTAACCATACATTTTCCATCACTATTCCAAAATACATTTTTGTCAAAAAAAAGTGGGGCTCAAATATTCTCTTGACTTGTTATCCAATGACTTCTAGTACAAGAGTTACAACTCAACTTGTTGAAACCAAATCACATGATTGTCATTTTAGCTCCTATTTGACCATAATTATTTTCAAACTCTTTTTATAATATATTCATTTTTAACTATACGCACAATAAAATATTTTATATGAAACTCAAAATTTTTCTCTATCTTTTTTTAAAAATCATTATTCAAAATATTATTTTTTGGGAAATAATGGCAACCGAACAAGAGCTTATTTAGACTCCAAACTATGCAATCCAGGCAAAGAGAAGGGTCGGAACTTGAAGGGAGTGGAGATGGGATGAAGGGATTGACGGTCGATATTAAACGAGCACGAGAGGGAAAGTCGTCAAAAAAAAAAAAGGGATGGTGACGGTTAAGATAGAGATGGTGGTAAGGGAATAAGGAGGGAGAGACACTATTTTTTCTAGTCTTTTTATTGCTGAAATAGACAAATAGTGGTTTTGGACAACACTTTTTAGCAGTAATGAGAACTCAGATGCTACAATCTTGAAAGATTAAAGACAACTATACCCGAAAAAGATAAATTAGGAACCTCGGGTGCAATTTCCCTATTCTTTTTCAAATTTTGAAGGCTCCAAAATTGACTGGTCTCTCTCGCCACCACCACAATATGCGCTTCCAATCTAATTCCAAGTCATTTCGCTTACGCTTACAACTCATTTTTAATTCTTTCTCTCTGTATATATAAACAAATTGTTGGTTTTCCGGGGAGATATCTTCATCGTTAACAAAAGAAGGGTAGCTTCTGCTTGTTTCAGTATGCAATAAATAGAATTCGATTTTTTTTTTTTAATTCCGAAGATTTTTGACCTTTTTGTTGTTTCTTGAATTTGAATGTTGATATTGAAGTTGGTTTCTTTAGGAAGTATTATTTGTTTGTTTTGTGACAATGGGTTCTTTGATTATTCCAGGATTTCTTGAAGATTTGAGCTGAATTATCAGATAATCTAAGAAAAGGTACATTCTTGATTTCTTTTTTTCTCATACTCGGTTCGGTTTAATGGGTTTTTTTTCCAATTATTAAGAGTTCAAGTTTCTCTTTGTTTCCTCAAGTTTATGATGAATCACACATTTTTATGTATGTTTTGAATTTTAAATTAGTTTCTTTGGGTCTCATTTTTGTAAACCCTTCAATATTCAATTTACAGAAAGCTGAAGTAAAATCCCAAAAATGAGTGAATCAGAAGCCAAAACACCCTTGATCACGCCCTCATCTTCGCGAAAGCTTCCTGATTTTAAACAATCTGTGAAATTGAAATATGTGAAGCTTGGATACCATTACCTCATAACTCATGGAATGTTCCTATTTCTGTCCCCTCTGGTGGTGGTTATTACAGCCCAGTTGTCTACCTTTTCGTTGGAAGACCTCTGTGTTCTTTGGGATCATCTCAGATTCAATCTGATATCCGTTATAGTATGCTCGGCCCTCTTGGTTTTTCTATCAACGGTGTATTTCCTCACGCGCCCTCGTCCTGTATATCTTGTGAATTTCTCGTGTTATAAGCCTGAAGATGATAAGAAATGTAGTAGGCAGGCTTTCATGGAGAAATCACGGATGACTGATTCGTTTACTAAGGAAAACATTGAGTTCCAGACGAAGATTCTTGAGAGGTCGGGACTTGGTGACTCGACTTATCTCCCTGATGCTCTGTTGAGGGTACCACCAAATCCATGTATGGCAGAAGCTAGGAAAGAAGCCGAAGCTGTAATGTTTGGTGCCATTGATGAGCTTCTTTCCAAAACCTTTGTAAAACCAAAGGACATTGGGATTCTGATTGTGAACTGCAGCCTGTTTAATCCGACTCCTTCTCTGTCTGCTATGGTTATTAACCATTACAAGCTCAGGGGAAACATAGTGAGTTACAATCTAGGTGGGATGGGTTGCAGTGCTGGTTTGATCTCGATTGATCTTGCAAAAGATCTTCTACAAGTTCATCCGAATACTTATGCTCTGGTAATCAGCATGGAGAATATTACACTGAATTGGTATTTTGGGAATGAGAGGTCAATGCTCTTATCAAATTGCCTTTTCCGGATGGGAGGGGCCGCCATTTTGCTGTCAAACAAATCATCTGATCGATGTCGATCCAAGTATCAGTTGGTCCATACTGTTAGAACCCACAAAGGTTCAGATGATAAATGCTTTTCTTGTGTAACCCAATTGGAGGATTCCAATGGGAAAGTCGGGGTTTCTCTGTCGAAGGATTTGATGGCAGTAGCTGGTGATGCTTTAAAGACAAATATTACAACTTTGGGCCCTCTTGTTCTTCCCATGTCTGAACAGTTGCTTTTCTTTGCCACTTTGATCGGGAGAAAGCTCCTTAAGATGAAATTGAAGCCTTATATCCCTGATTTCAAATTGGCTTTTGAACATTTCTGTATTCACGCTGGTGGAAGAGCAGTGTTGGACGAACTAGAAAAAAACCTGCAGCTATCCAATTGGCACATGGAGCCTTCAAGAATGACACTTCATCGATTTGGTAATACCTCGAGCAGCTCTCTTTGGTACGAATTGGCGTATTCAGAAGCCAAAGGGAGGATTAAGAGGGGAGACAGGACATGGCAGATAGCCTTTGGATCTGGGTTCAAATGCAATAGTGCAGTGTGGAAAGCTCTTAGGACTATAAATCCTGCCAAGGAGAAGAACCCTTAGATCGATGAAATTCACGAGTTCCCTGTGGAGATTCCAAAGGTCTCAGCTCTTTAACATAACAAGCTGAACTTCATTCATTTAGACTATAGCACTTTGTTATGGGTCATTAGTAAATAGTTTCATCTGTCTGTCTTTAGGCAATGATTCCAAGAATGCCCTGTTTGTATTTGCTAGGAATTGTGGCGTTTTGCAGTTTTCATTTGAAAGTGTAATCTGCAGGCTACCGGAGACATCGTTCTTGGAGCCTCATTTATCATTTCCTAATCCAACGAACACATGAAATAATGCATTTTAAGGACACTAAAACCACATTTCACATATAACAAAAACTAGTTTGTCCATATTGCATTAGTGCATTAACGTGATACAATTGAAATGATGTCTACACCATGAAAAACACATGAAATGGCTGAAAGAAAACCAATCATTCACTGTTTGCATCAAAACATGCCACAAATAGAACTTATGCAAGTTTACATAGCTTAAGCCTAAGGACAATAGCAAGAACATTATTGTCTATTCCTTTGAGGATTTGTTGATGAGTGACTTATGTATATGAGGGATCACTCCACCACCGGCTATGGTTCCTTTGATGAGAGTATCGAGTTCTTCATCTCCACGTATAGCCAGCTGCAAATGCCTAGGCGTGATACGCTTCACCTTCAAGTCCTTGCTTGCATTACCAGCCAGCTCCAACACTTCAGCAGTTAGGTACTCCAAAATGGCTGCAGAATAGACAGCAGCCGTAGCACCTACCCTTCCATGAGCAGTAACTCTTGACTTCAGGAGTCGGTGGATACGTCCTACAGGAAACTGTAGGAAGACGTAATGAGTTAGAATCTTGGGTATTTCTATTGCATGGAACTCAAAAAATGAAAATGCTAAAATATACGCAATCAAGTTTTTTTAATAGAAAATGGCAGATAATGAAAACTTTTAAGGTTATAATAACATTGTTCTTCCAGGAATTGAGTCATAAACATTCGGACCAGTGAGAAAGTACATAATGTCCACAAGTGAAAACTAATCTTGAAGTCAACCAGGACAAGTTATATACACACCCAACAAATTGCTTAAACATGTTATCATGAATTTAAACTAGAGCAATATCTACAGATAACTAATAATATGAAGAATATCATCTCGTAAGGAAGTGGTAAAGCAAAAGTGACTCAAGTAGCCCATTAAGTAGTAACGTGACTGACAGCAACTTCACTGACAGTTCTTGTACATGCTCTAGTGTAATTTTCTTTTTAAACAAAAGCAAAAAGAGAAGAGTCATTGAAGCACATACTTGGTCAATACATATTTCCGAACTCTAGTCCTAAGAATGTTCAAATATTTGTCACACTTGCTGACATGGAGAAAATGAAGTAGAAGTCTGAATGCTCTTCAATACGAGAACTAAACCTAATGACTTGAAATGTTAACTTTTATAGTTCATAGCAATCGAAATAGTCTAGTCCATCATCAAATAAGAAAACAGATACAGTTAACTAGTACAAAAGTATAATTTTTTATATATTTTCCTCTCCACTTACAATCGTTTAGTGTTGGTATTCAGATAATAGGCCTAAATGGTTACCTTCTTCTCGCATTAGAAATATTTTTTTTAATCAGTTTTTTCATCCTTCATGGCATATCATCTCAGGTCACAAAACAATACAAAGGATACATAAATCAAATCCAGAAAGTTCCTTCTTGATAATTAACTTTATCACTCGACGGGTTAAAAATCCATGAATGATCAACGTGTCACTATAGCCACTCAATTTCATTTTGTTTAACCGTGACCACCAAACTTTATATTTGGTGTCACCATGACCATCAAATTTGACTTTATTTCACCATGGTCACCCAATTTATTTTCATAATTTTCACGAGTTTTAAAAGGGATAAAACGGTAACTTTGCATTATATATATAAAATAAATTTAAAAAAAAAAGTTCAAATAAAAACTTATTTTTTTAAAAAAAAATGTTAAAAAAATAAAATAAAAGATAAACTTATTTAAAAAAAGCTAATTAGAAAAATAAAAAAAATTATTAAAAAAAAGTTCTTAAAATAAAAAAAAAACTTATTTTTAAAAAAATGTTACTTAGAAAAATAAAATAAAATAAAAAGTTATTTTTAAAAAAAAGCGTTCCTTCAAAAAATAAAATAAAATAAAAACTTATTTAAAAAAAAAACTTATTTTAAAATAAAATAAAAACTTATTTTAAAAAAACGTCACTTCGAAAAATAAAAAAATATTTTAAAATAAACGTTTTTAAAATTAAAAAATAAAACTTCCATTTTTTATTTTTTTAAATTTATTTTATATATATAATTTATCCCTTTTAAAATTAGTGAAAATAGTGAAAAGAAATTAGATGAGCATGTTATATGAAATTTGGTGACCATTGTAAAATGTTATATGAAATTGGGTGGCCATGATGAAATAAAATCAAATTAAGTGGTCATGGGACACTACATATAAAGTTGGATGGCATGGTGAAACAAAATCAAATGTGATGGCTATGACGACACTAAGTATAAAGTTGGGTGGTCATTGGTGGATTTAACCCTCACTCGACGACTTGTACTTCACAAATCAAAGCACTAACCTTGTTTTCCTAAAGCAACAGCATGGGTGGAATGCAGTTATATCCTAAATACAGTATAATTAGCAAAATTGGCTCCAATTGGGTCATTAATTAAACTGCGTAAACGAAGGGGCCTTCTGTTTCACTAGTAAATTGCTTTTCTCCCTTAAGGCGAAACATTTCTCAACTAGAATGTTATCCATCCTTTTCGTTCCAAGACATTTTCTCTAATGGCTAATGCAATGTTTCATGGAATATAATTGGCTCATTATAACTAAAATAAGACAATGTGCACTAAGATTTGGATTAACTAGCACAGATTCCAATCTTTAGATCCAGATTCTACAATTGCGTATGGTTACCTCATAAAATACCTACTCTCAAATCCCGCCATAGTTTTTAAACAACGAAACGACGAAAAAAAAAAAAAAAAACCTAAA